AAAAAAAAAAAAAAAAAAAAAAAAAAAAAAAAAAAACCTGGTTCACCAGTGGCAGCGCGCAGTGTGGCACCCTTTTGTCTACTCAAGTGGATGCCCAACACCCTTACAGGTTCCCATAAAAGGCTCGATAAGGATGCAACGTAACGGCTCCCCGAAAGGCCTATACGGGATGCCTAACACTCTTATAGCTTTGCCTATGGGGCCAATAAGGCTAGGATCTAAAGGTTCACTCAAAGGCCTGTGAAGATTGCCCAACACCCTTATAGGCTCCATTAAAAGCCCAATAAGAAGGATAAGGATGGGACCTAAGGGCTCTTCCCAAGAGGCCTATAAATGAACACCCTTTGGGCTTCCCCTCTAAAGGGCCAAGACGGATGGAACCTAAGGCTCCCCAAAAGGTCCATAAGGATCTCGGGTGCCTTTATAGCCTCCCCCTGAAACCCTAGAAAGGATGGGACCTTGGGGCTCCTCAAAAGGCCTATAAGAAACCCTCTTATAGGCTCCCCTAAAGGAAGGATGGACCCTAAGGGCTCCCAGAGAGGCCAAATAAGGATGGGACCTAAGGCCTCCTCGAAAGGCCTATAAGGATGCCCAACACCCTTATAGGCACCCCTCAAGGCCAAATATGGATACCCAACACCCTTAAAGGCTCCTCCCCCAGAACACCCCATGTCATTTAGGGGGCTTCCGGGGTACGTATTTCCGGAGAGGATATCCAGCAGCGCTTTATGTCCTTTTCCTCTGTTCACAAGCATGTCATTTCTTCGTTCCAGTCACCAGATAGTCACATACACGTGGAGGGTTCAATTCACTGGGAAAACATGCCATCAACAAATCCAACTGTTGTGATAACGACACTTAACTGTTCTTGAATCTCTCATTGAATTCCGCTTCCCGTTTCTCCTTGTTCTCCTTCAAAATCTGCGAAACACACAGTCCATGACCTGTCTCTTATACACATCTAGATGTGTATAAGAGACAGCCGCTGGACTACGGATCAGATATTAAACTGATCAGAATAGATACATTGCACCTGATCTTAGCGAAAAGGCCGAGAAAGGTATTGCATATTTTCATCCGCCGAGCGGAAGTAACTGAATTTTTTGGCGTTTTCCCTTTTAGCCTTGTTTTATTAATATTTATTGTGCATGCCATTGTGCTGCTTGTGCTCCATTTCGTCTGCATCCAGGAAGTAAGGAGAGTCTGGCGAGCGGATTTTTCGAGAGAGGGTACAAATCTCCAAAGAAGTTGGGGAAGGCTGTTCAACTCTCTTACTCAATCTGTTACCTTTGGACTGCTCGAACATCTCGAATGTATTGGATCTCTAACAGGGCCCGATACATTTACTATGCTGTGTAGTGCGCGCAGCCCTTTCATCACTAGATCGAGGTTTTGGCTTTCTAAATCTTTTACAAAAGACAAACAGGAAAACAAAGTAGTATAGTACTTGGTGTTTTTTTTTTTTCTTTTTCTTTTTTGACTTGGTGAGTTTTCTTTCTTCTTCTTCTTCTTCTTCTTCTTCTTCTTCTCCTTATCTTGTTTTTGCTTTTTCTGTTTTTTGTCATCTTTCTTCTTCTTCTTCTTTTTTCTTCTTCTCCTTATCTTATTTTTTCTTTTTTCTGTTTTTTGTCATCTTCCTTTGTTTTGGGAGATGGAAGGGGGTGGAGGCGGACAGTATTCTCACCGCCAGTGTGATGTCGACCTGCACGAAGCGCTTCGCGATTGTCAAGCTAGCAACGAGGTGATTAGGATTACGGCAGAAGTGGATAAGTTCGACATTCGGGGTAATGTTCACAAACGAACGCTGGTCATCACTGATCAAGCGATATATGTATTTGCGAATCAGAAATGCAAACACAGATTAGATATGAACGGCATCTATCGCATTTTGCGAAGCCATTCTGGAGAGCAGTTGCTCATCCTGACCAAGGAGGAAGGGGCATCGGCGTGCTACGCAAGTCAGCATGCGGGCGATATCTGTCGGCTAATCGTTGCCACGGTCGAAGAGGTGACAGGCTCAAGGCCGACACTAGGCAGTGGCAGCGAGGCGGAGTTTTTAAGTCAGCTAAAACGCCGTCGAGATATAGAAGCCCTTCAGAGGGGGGTGGACAAGAGTACCGAGAACAAGCCCGGTAGACCTGGAAACAGCAGCACCATACTTCTCTCGGAGGGTAGGGGTAGTAATAACGGGATCCAAGGGGTAGGTGGAGAATCTGAGGGAAGTACCAATGCGGTTGGAGGAGGAGGAGGAGGAGGAGGGGGAGGAGGAGGAGGAGGAGAAGGACCTGAGGGAGGTAGGAATGGAGGAGGAGGAGGAGGTTCAGAAGGGTCAACCCGGCAGCAGAGCAAGTCACCGGCGACGGGGTTGCAATCGAGCAACCAAAAGATGATCAGTCAAAAACAGCCTCGCAAACGACTTGGTCTCGAGGACTTCGAGGTCCTTCGGCTGTTGGGTAAAGGGAGTTTTGGCAAAGTTTTCCAGGTCCGAAAGAGGGACACGGGGGTGACTTACGCAATGAAGGTGGTTAAAAAGGAGGACCTTCAAGTTGAGAAGCACTTAGAACATCAACTCACCGAAAGGGGGGTTCTGGAGGTGGTCCAGCACCCTTACCTTGTGAGTCTGCGCTACGCATTCCAGACAGACCAAAAGCTATTTTTAGTTCTGGATTACCTTGGCGGCGGTGAGTTGTTCCATCACATGAGGGACAGTCCAGCCTTCTCTGAGGACCGAACAAGGTTCTATGCTGCCGAGCTGGTACTCGCCATCGGCCACCTCCACTCCCTTGGTATCGTGTATCGGGATTTGAAACCGGAGAACATACTACTGGACAGCGAGGGCCACATCAAGGTGACGGATTTCGGCATGGCCAAACAGAAGGTCCATGACAACAAGTCTGCGCTTACGTTCTGCGGGACTCCAGAGTACCTGGCACCAGAGGTCCTAGAAGGGAAAGGGCATGGTCGGGCGGTTGATTGGTGGAGTCTGGGTATCCTGATTTATGAGATGATGGCAGGGCTTCCACCTTTTTATGACAAGAACGTTACGGTCATGTACGACAAAATACTATATGGAAAGCTGCAGTTCCCTGGCTTTATGACCGCAGCGGCTCGGGATCTCCTCAGCAAGATGCTGGACAGGGACCCCAACCTCCGCCTTGGCGCCGGCAATCGCGATGCAGAGGAGATCATGGTGCACCCCTTCTTTGACAAAGTCGACTGGGAGAAACTGCTAGCGAAGAAGATCCCGCCGCCTTTCAAACCTATAGTGAAATCTGTGGAAGATGTCGGTAACTTTGATCCAGCTTTTACAAGTCAAGACCCGAAGGCCCTTTCAGTTGATGAATCTCCCGGAGAAGCCCTCTCGAGGTTGACCATAGACAACGACCGATTCTTAGGGTTCACTTTCATCCCTAGTTACTCTAGGGAGGAAGGCTGAG